TAGGGATGCACAATATTATCGGACTAATATCAGAATCGGCCGATAATGGCTTTAAATGTAAATATCGGCATCGGCCCGATATGAAAAATTATGCCGATATGTCTTGCCGATAAGAGGAATACATTAACTCACATGAGCACAGGGTGTGCTAACGATTAGATCATGTCAGCATTGTGGCTCATTCTTGAAGCAAAGTTTTGCCTGAATGGTGATTGGATTCACTGTTTTGAATCGCTGCTTTTCAACTGAGAATGCACGTACAAAATGTTGCGTTCAGTGTGTGATAGTCTACAGTAATAGCACGTGCATTGGCAGCAGTGGCAGCCTCCCCCGGGTCCTAAAGCCCTCTCAGTAAGGAGTTTTAATTCCATAGGGGGCGCTGTTGGCATACTTCTAATAAAATGAAAGCAAAGTACACAAATAATATTTAGACTGTTTCTGATTAAATAAAGCAGTAATTCATGCCATAAAATCATGAATATATTTTGATTTAAAGGTCAGAAGCTATAGCTTACATGAACAAAAAAAAATCACAAACATGACACTTAAATTAAATAATTTTATATATACTGATTTGTTCATTAATGTGCAATGTTATATTTTTTAAACAAATTATGAGCTCTAAAAGATTTTCAGAATTTTTACAACTCTTTTGCTTTAGACCATTTACAAATGTTAAATCATAAAATAAAATGTTAAGGTTACCACTGCATCTTTCTGGAAAAAAAAAAAATGCAGTGATTAATATACAGTTTATTTATAGTTATTTTCAAATCTTCAATGTACTGTAATTAAAAAAACTTTGTTTATTTAATGCTAACAAATAATTTAAAATAAGTTAACAAATAAACAAAATTAAAAATAATTATATATCGGCATCGGCTATTGGCCAAAATTAGTAAAAAATTATCGGCATATCGGATATCGGCAAAAATCCAGTAACGTGCATCCCTATGTTAACCCAAGTAAAGTAAAATAGAGATACTTATTTACTTATTAATACTTATTTCGTGGCTTTACAAGAAATAAGACAAAGAGTTACCATTCAGCCCTCTACGAACACCTTGGCAATTGAATCGCCATTGGCTAGTAAATATTTTTGTTTACTCGCCAGACTGATTAAAAAAAAAAAAAA